GAAAGTGCAGCTTGCTTGTTGGAAGGGTGGTGGTGGGACGCAGCGTTAAGGTACAGGTTAGTATGGGTGGTTTTGCGGTACACTCTATGGCCCAGGGAACCGTCGGATCTCCTGTAAATATCTATATCCAGGAAGGGTAGATGGCCTTCAGTTTCAGTTTCCATTGTGAACTGGATGCACTCCTGGATACTATTTAGGTGGTTCAGGAAGTCCTGGAGCTTGTCGGGACCGTGTGACCAGATGACGAAGGTGTCGTCCACGTAGCGAAACCAGCAGCAGGGCTTGTGTGGGTCGATGTCAAGTGCCCTCTCCTCGAAGTCCTCCATATAGAGGTTAGAGATGACCGGAGAGAGTGGCGAGCCCATCGCCACACCATCGGTTTGTTCATAGAACTGGCCATTGAAGGTGAAGTATGAGGTGGTCAGGACATGGCGGAAGAGTCTCAAGATGTTTTCTTCGAAATGTCGTCCTAGCAGATCCATCGTATCTTTTATTGCCACCCTGGTGAAGAGTGACACTACATCGAAACTGACCATTATGTTGTGGGGATCAACATGGAGAGAGTCCAATGTGTGGACAAATTCCATGGAGTTCCTCACGTGGCCTGGACCGTTGCCAGTGTATGTCCTCAGTAGGCCAGCCAAGTGTTTGGCCAGGCGATTGGTGGGAGAGCCAATGGTGCTCACAATGTGCCTTAGAGGAACGTCAAGCTTGTGGATTTTTGGCAACCCGTAGAGTCTAGGTGGCCTGGAACCTTGAGGTCGTAGCTGTTGGCAGACCTCCTCAGCAATCGGGGACTTTTTCAGAAGAAGGACAGTCTTCCACTCTGTGGCATCAGTAGGATCCTTCTTCAACTTCCTGTAAGCCTTATCCTCCAAGACAGTGGCAATCTTCCGGTTGTAGTCGAAAGTATCCAGCACAACTGCCGCATTACCCTTGTCAGCCGGAAGGACTGTGAGCGCCCCATTGGCTTTTAAGGACCGAAGGGCTCTTCTCTCGGCACCAGTCAGATTGTCATTTGGCCTGCGGGAGTTCTTCAGAATCCTGACCGTCTCCTGTCGGATCTCCCGCAGTCTCTACAGGCAGGGCCACTATCACTTTCTCCACCCCGCACAGGATATCCTTGACGGGAACGGACTTCGGAGCCACAGCAAAATTGAGGCCTTTGCTTAGGGCCGAGAAAGCCGCTTCATCCAATGGCACATCACTCAAGTTGACACTCAAGTTGACCACTGTCTTCTTGCTGTCAGGTGGGCCGGGTGGGTGCTGGGCCTCATGCAACCGTTGAAACTTCTTGCAGTGCCTGGCTATTACGTCATCAGCGATGCGTAAAGCCTTCTCACTGGTGATGCGGTCGATCAGGTCCCAGTCATCGGCGGACAAGTCCTGGGTCAAGCGCAGGTGTAATTTAAGCAGTTCTCTGGATACGACGTCCAGCTCCCGCCTGGTGTCGTGGATGCGTTCACGGAGCAAACAGAAGCTCGTGCGTCTATAGATTCTGTTGGCAGCGTCAGAATTTATATGGTGTTTGAACTGAAGGAAACGCGGGATGGTGTTTTGGTCTCTGCATCTAAGAAGGAAGGGAAGCGTAGAGAGTGGTTTAGTCTTCTTGATTCGTAGCGTCTCGAGTCGTCGAATGTGTCGTTGAGTAGCCTCCCCATAGAGGAACACTATGTAAGATTTGAGGCTTTCACGGCGGTGACTATGAAGAAAGCAGTCTTCTGGGATTTGGCACCGTGTATATGTGGTGTTAACCGACGTTTCGGAGGAACGTATCGCCTCCATCTTCAGGGTAGAAGAAAAAGTATAAGAAATCTCTATACTTGCCCTTCCCCCCTAACCTCTCTGCTCACACATAGCTGTGTTATTTTCAGTCTGCTTTTACCGTTCTCACGGTCTTGTCGCTTGCAGATTTCTTATACTTTTTCTTCTTCCCTGAAGATGGAGGCGATACGTTCCTCCGAAACGTCGGTTAACACCACATATACACGGTGCCAAATCCCAGAAGACTGCTTTCTTCAATTTTGAATTGATCTGTTGTTTGTCAAGTGCTTTGAGTGCTGCTTGGCTGTCAGATAGAATGTAGATGTTCCTATTTCTATAGTTTCTATCTAAATTCTCCATAATACATGCTTTAATGGTATATACTTCTGCCTGGAATACTGTTGTGTACCGCCCAAGGCTGAAACTAAGTTTCCGCCTTGTACCATGGCAGTACACACCAGCTCCAGTGCCTCTATGTATCTTGGAACCATCTGTATACCAGATCAGTCCCCCTTTTCTGTCAGGCTGAAACCCGTCTTCCCATTCACTCCTTTCAGGAAATATGACTGTGAAGGGTTTTCCATATACATGTCTCAGTATCATTTTGTCAGACCCCATTTGTAATATTGGTTCTGTTTTCATGTCTTGAGTCATGTCTGCATGGCCGAAACCATCAGATCTAGGTTTCCATTGTCCACTGCACTGGAGACGGTAGAATTCTGCCCTGGCCTCTGCATCCAACTGCATATGCAGTGGGGGGAGTCCAAGGAGTATCTCCAGTGCAGCTGTTGGAGATGTTCGAAATGCTCCTGTAATACCTAATCAAGCCAACCTTTGCAATTTGCCAAGTTCTGTCTTGCTTGTCTTGAATTTAACTTTGGGCCACCATACTGTGACACCGTAAGTAATTATAGGTCTCACAACCACAGTATATATCCAACGTACGTGTGGCTGTAGTCCCCAAGTTTTACCAAACATGCCCCTGCATGTCCAAAAAGCCTTATAGGCTTTGTTAATGACTTTGTCAATCTGCCTTTTCCATGTCACTCCCTTGTCTTATATTAGACCAAGGCACTTGACATCGCTGGAGAGCTGGATATTCTTATTGAAGAGAATCGGTTCCTTAAGACCCTTTACCTATATCTTCCTAGTAAACGGTATGTTAACCGTCTTGTTGGGATTGATGGAGAGACATCTTCTTTCACATTTCCACATTGTTTAGTGCACTTTCGGTAGATTTACCTGTTTGGTAGGCATGTTGGTTTTGGTGTAGAGGACATGTCCTCAGTACCTCGTCCCTAATATGCCTAACCACTAGTTTCTCCATCGTTTTCAAAAGGAAAGACGACAAGCTGATAGGGCGATAAGCCTTAGTCTCTGTATAATCAAGTTTCCCGGGCTTTGGAATAAATGTCACAACCTGCCTCCAGGCTGTGAGGATAAAACCATATGCCAAGCAGGCTCTACCGTATTCACGCATGTATAGGCCACACATTTTTTGCCAAAAATTCAAGAGGAAAACTGGGGTGCGGCTTATATTCGAAATATTCGAAATCACACTTCATTTAAAAAAATTATATTCATAATTAGTAATACAGGGTGTTCTACTCCTGAAATAATATTCCAAGAAAATTATTTTTTATATAATTTCTGTCTGAAAATTGTGCTGCGGCCTATACACGCACGCGGCCTATACTTGCGTAAATACGGTATATATGCGACATAGGTGTGGAACTAAAAGTTCTGCCCCATGTTGCAAAAGTGCCGGTACAATTCCATCCGTTCCCGCTGATTTAAATGGTCTGAAAGAGTTCAGGGCCCATCTTATTTTTGATTGATTAATTATGACTTTGGCCAGGTCCCAGTCTACCCTGTCCATCTTGCTTTGGCAAGTGTCCAGGTTCTCCTGACCCTGTCCATTGCCCAACTTGTCAACCAATTTTGAATCAGGAAAGTGAACTCTAAAAAATTCATTCAGCGTCTCCCTTCCTGTTTGAGTATACTGTCCGTTAGGCAGCTTAATTGTGCTGACCTTATTGGTAGCCTGTTTTGCCATGATTCTCATGAGTCTGGCACTGCCTGGTACATCACTGATCTCCTTTCAGTACCTCCTCCATGAGGATTGCTTGTCTTTCCTTATTTCTTTCTTGTAACAGGTCAGGGCTTCCTTATATGTGTTCCACTGCCCTGTTCTTTTAGCTGTATCAAACAGCCTTCTTGTTTTGTTCCTGAGCCCACTCAGTTGTTTATTCCACCAAGGTGTACTTCTTGGTCCGCGAGTGGTCCTAGCCACACAATTCTGATTAAAGGATTAGATAATGGTCGTTGCAACTGGTCAACGGACCGATCAACATCCTTTATTTTGCGCATATTACGCGAGATGGCCTCAAGATTTACATTTAGGTCGTTTTGTAAGACTCCCAATTGGTTCTCTTAGGATTCATATAAGTAGTTTGATCTACTGTGATGTTACTTATTTTAAAGCGTATATATCCGTGATCCGATAGAGACGGCTCATCAGATACATGCCAATTACTTACCAGGTTTTCTATGTTATTAGTCCCTAGTGTCAAATCAATAACCTCCTTCCTATTGCAAACCACAAAGGTAGGTTCATTACCATGGTTTAGAATATTCAGGTTCAAACTCACCAGAAATTCCATACGGCTCTCTCCCCTTGGGTTAGTGTCGGTGCTCCCCCACAAAATGTGGTGCGCATTGGCATCACACCAAATGATGAGTTGCTTTTTCCTGCTAAAGCAGTAGTCTATGATTTCCCTCATTTCCTTAGTTGGCGGTGGTTCAGCCGAGTCCTACGGAAGGTAGACTGAAGCAATTATAAGCTCCTTGCTGCCTTATCGATTCGGGTATGTTATCCTTACCGCTGTTGCGTCCCTGGAACAGAGCCCCAGCAAAGGCAATGCATTAACACGATTCCTGATATAAACACAAGATCTTGCATTATTACTGGGTGCAACAGAGTAAACTGTTCCCCCCGTATAATTTAAGCCCCTTATTCAATCCTTGTATAACCAAGGTTCCTGAATAAGTGCTGTGCCCGCCTTGCCCTCAGCTAGCTGTTGGCACAGAGCTGCCGTGGCAGCTTTACTGTGGTGCAGGTTGATCTGAAGAAATCTCATAATCTCTTCCAATTGAGGAGGTATCAACTTCCATCTTATGCCCCTCCTTTATCTCGGACTGGGTTCCATGTGAAGAGGTCCCCTGATCCATTTTACTTCGGTCATCTGAGTTTCTGGGTACATCATCCCCTTCCTCCTCAGAGACTGAGTTAGAAGATACAGTGTCTGTCACGGGTTCTGCCCGGCGCCGAACTTCAGGATCGTCCAGCACCTTAACAGTCCCCTGTGAGAGTCCTGTAAATATTTTATGACCGGTCCACTGTATAATAGTATAGGAGTCCCGGTCTATTAGTAGTATAAACCTTTGGCCTTTCAACTGAGATTGCTTGTCTAACACCCTCCAGTTCTCTGTATGGAGTCCTGGATTAAGGTCTGCAATCCATTTCAGTAGCTCTTCCTGGTTTTGGGCAATTTTATCCCTAGTTCGGAGAGCTACTTTAACAGGCTTGAGCAGGTTCCTGGCATCAGTAGCCTTCAGCCTGGTTCCTGATTGAAGCCTGTGGTTGTCAATGGCTCCATTGAGCCACTGACCGGACTGTTGGTCGGCACATATATAGATAAGTGCATCTTCCAACCATCTGTTTGATTTTAGGTGTGGTAGTTCTACCTTTGGAGTCCTACGAAACACCTCGCCCAAAGCTTCCAGATTGGAATTTTGGTCATCTTCGGTAAGCCTATCCTCGGGGTAAGTGTCCTTGTAGATAGCTACCTTTATATTGGTCGGAGCCTCCTTGTAAGTCCCTGGTCCTTTACAGTCCCTGGGCTTCTTCAGAATTCTGGTCGTTTCTGTGGGAGTACCGCCCTCCAACCTTGGCCTCTTAAAGTTGTCAGTGGTGGTTTCTCCCTGCTTGGATGAGCTTGCAGTTCCCGGTTGCTGACGGCTCCCAGGTCCTGTTTGCCTGTCCCAGCTTTTGCCTGTTGTAACTGCCGCTTAGCGGCACCCGACAAGCGTTTCTTCGCCAAAAGGGTTCCACCTATTCCAGAGCCTATGTGTTCCAGTCTTTCCCTTGCTACAGGTGTGTTGGAAGTAGCAGCTCCCTGCTGTGGTGTGCCAGTACTAACGACTCCCAAGAGCAGTTTTTGGTTTTGCCTCTGGTAGATTCTGAATCATTGGTTCATTCATGCCTTTTGCTAAGACTGCAACAGTAGGTTCGCCGGTTGCTTCTGAGCCCCTTAATGGTTCACCAGAGCTTCCAGCTCCCTGCTGAAGCATTTCTCATAAAGATCACTTTAAAGGGGGGTCCCTCTTCAGTTTAAGGTCCTTATGACCGGTTTTTTTGTTTGGTACTTTTTTCATTTTGGTCTCACGAGTAATGGGGATTTAAAAGGTCACCAACCGCAGAGCCCAATATCCAGCCTCAAGAATTCCAGCACTGTTTTGAGCAGCGGCAAAAGCGTTGGGACAAGTGCATTAATGCACAAGGACAATACTTTGAAGGGGACTATTATACAGTTCAATAAAAATGCAAAAATAAAAAATAACAAAAAGAAATTCCGGTTATTTTTGGGTCCCCCCTCATACATATCCAGAACCTTCAGCGTCTTCTGTAACCTCCCAAAACATACAGTCATCTCCAGCTCCAGAATCCCTTACTGAAACTCAGGCTGGGCTATCTGACTCGCTTACTTCCACAAATTCATGCATTAGTGAAGAATCATTTGAGATGTTTCCTGACAGTTAATGTGTAATTGTTTGTAAAAAAAAAAGAAAAGACAATAATTCAATAAACTATTAATCTTCTTCAAAACAACTGAACCTGTTATTCAAAATAATAATCCTTTCGCCACATTGCTTCCTTCATTAAGATAACTGAACTAAATCTGTATGTACCACAGTGTTACAGCTAACATTTCAAGCGGGCTAATAGCGAGTCTCATATTGGTGTCCTGGGAACATATACTAAACACGACATGAGAGCCTGTGACGATGAACCGCTCCTGACTTCATGATGGTTGTAGGTGGTAGGGTGAAGATGGGAGTAGCATTGGTACAAAGTCACAGAAGAAGAACTGGAACCAGTATCAGAAAAGTAATGGAACTCAAACTGGCCTCGTCACCAACAACACCAATTTAAAGAAACATGGTAGGTAGGACTTGCCAAAATCCCACTTTAACTAAGACTCTGTGATTGGGTCTGTGTATCCCTGCAAATACATATATAACAATGAGACTGTAACTTGTTAAGCAAATGTGAATTCTAATTAGCCAAATGCTTAGTGCTAGTGCATCCCACAAATCTGTCATATTATGTACAGGTGAGATTATTACGCTAAACAGTGTCCACCATGTTCATGACTTTAAGCCCAAAAAAGAGATTCACTAAAAGAAGAACATGAAAACAAGCTGATCTGAAAGATAGCCCTAATTGCACTTCTCTGCCACAACTGCTGAGGCAACATTATGCCAAAGGCACCTCCTTCTGCAGCTGCACAACATCAACCAGACTTGGCCATATCCAGGTCTGTTATTTCTGTACGTACCAATGCATATCCAAGATTCAAAGCTGGGCTGCACTGCTACAATTTCTTATTAAAATTTTATCCCACATTGACCACTTGATTGAAGACCTAAATGAGCTAACTAATGCCATGGAGCTGAGTCCTTTAGGAGTGGCCAGTCACTCAGAAACATTTTATGGAACCCAGAAGTTTCTCATCATGTTCATAAAAGCGCTTCACTGGTATTTGTGGTTGGCCAAATTATAATAGTCCATTCCACCCCATCCTGTTTCTCTAAGGTCCATTTTAATATTATTCCTTTACCTATATCTAGGTATTAGTGGCCTCTTTCCTTCTGACTTTCTTGCCAAAATATGCATCTCTCCCCATGCATGGTACATACCCTACCCATCTCATCCTAAATGAATCTTATAAATATCTAGGAGGTAGCTGTGTGGTGTGGCTTGCAGTCAGATTGTTAAACACAAATGGAAATTATTCAGGAAAACCAATTATGGACTGCATTAACTGATTTATAGTAGCAATCTCTTGAAAAAAGTAAAAAAATTCAGTTAATTTTTACTACCTTTCCAGCACTGAAGATCTTCTGAAACTGTTTTTGTAACAATCTTCCATGGTGTGGGAGTTGAATAAATGATTTCAAGAAATATAAAGGTGATGAGGATGAAATCAAACCTTAATTCTGTCTAGCCCAACTTCCATTTATGTCACATGTGCATATAGGGGATATAGAATATCAACATATCTGTGTGTGTTGATATGAAATCGAGATATGTAGATATGCTGATATTCTTTATCTGCTTTATGCACATGTGACATAAATGACAGTTGAGCTCTCTTTTCTACAGATGTTTCTTCCACTTGCTTGTGGCACTCAGAAGTTTTTGTGCCTTCTCATATCAAGTCTGTTCTCCTTCCAGTAGGATCATTGGGTGCTGGTCCTCATACTTTTCTGAATTTATTTGTGTCTCCCCACTTTTACAAATCTCTGATTTCTCAATCTTACTGCAGGTATTGAATGTTTCTGTTCCACATGTTAACATCTCAGGTTTCTTGTTTGAGTTTAAGTATGAGGGGTGAGCCATAAGAACTGGCCCTCACACTGCGACCTTCAGTGATATATTGTGCTTCCCCTTTGAATTAACCCTTTATTAATCCTACACTTCGAATGAAATGTAGGACTTTATTTATGGGGGCGTCATAAAAGTCACTTGGTTCCATGAAGAATTGTTAATTGACCCTTTGCTCTGGGCTCCTGAACTATCCCCAGCCTCAGCTACCATCTCCTCACAGCAACAGCTAACAAAGACTGAACCTCAGAAATTCTAGAACTCACTGACTGACTGACCGACTAACTAACTGACTAACTCAGTCACTCACCAACCAACCAACTTAACCCAAATGAACTCACCTGACTCCACTTCACTAATTGTCGTGCTTATAACATCTCAGCACGGATGTGTGTTGCTGTATCCAATTGTTGCCATGGAAATACTCCTGTTTGAGAAGCCATTGCTTAGTAATGTCTGTTGTATATCTGCTTATCTCGCTGTCTTTGCACAGCAATGAGTCTGCATGCCACAATATTTTGATGTCCAAAATGGGATTTCAAATAAAGCAGTAATCATAACTGTTCATAGACATAAAAAACTGAATATAGTTAACACATTTTCTAGTGATCTGCAACACCAAATTTCTTCAGAATTTGCTCAGTGAAAACAAAGGTAGATGCAGAAACAAGTAGCAGAGTTCCTATAAAACACATTTACACTTCCATCTAACTTGCTCTTACATACAAAATGATACTTTCACAAGAAAAGTGGCAGGTGATTCTTATAAGCAAATTACTCATTCTTCAGTCTGTATGTGATTTAGCTTGAGGGTCTATAACACATAAGCAAATGTCAGTTTGTTAAAATCCAATATACAACTAACCCATGCAAAGAACTGGCGAGTTTCGGAAGGTGAACAATGCTCTTCTCCAGTGCAAGTGATTCTTCTGTGTCTCTGTACTTGGTAGCTCCCTCTTCAGTGGTTGTCTCTTTAAGGACAAATGTCTCACGCTGTTCTGCCACCTGTAAGCAGAACACAAACCTATCCTATAAACCAGTGGTCGGCGACCCGGGGTAAATTACACCAAGTGGGGTAAAAATTAAATTCTTGGGGGTAATGAGGACCGCCTGAGCTATGGCACGGCCTCCAGTACTGACTTATACATATTGTACATGCGGAGGTTTCCTCCGCATTATGCTTGTCCTCGTGTAACTATAAGAATCGCGTGTACTGAAGGGTTAAAACTTTTTGAATCACTGTCTTTTTTACCCCTCAGATGACATCAACTAGAAAACGAATATACCAGGAAGAGTTCCTCAATTATGGGTTTACACAAATAGAAGACAAAGGAATAATGAAACCACAGTGTGTTGTCTGTTTGAAAGTACTGACTGCAGAATCTTTCAAAAAGAGTCAATTGAAGAAACACTTGAATAATTTGCACCCACACCTGTCTTCCAAACCGCAGGAATACTTTGTAAATTTGGAAATGTCTGTCAAAAAACAAAGACTGAACAGCAACTTGAGAAGTACATTCGATCAATGTTCAGCATCAATGGCCAGCTTTGAAGTGGCCTGGTTGATTGCCCGAAACAAGAAACCACATACTATTGGTGAGCAATTGGTTAAACCAGCAGCTTTGAAAATGGCAGAGATTGTATGTGGTCATAAAGAAGCTGCGAAACTAAATTCAGTGCCCTTGTCTGCAAAAGTTGTGAAAGAAAACATTTCTATTTTAGCAGAAAATGTGAGGGAACAAGTTATTTCTTCAACAAAAGAGAGTAAATGCTTTGCTATTCAGCTTGATGAAACTACAGATGTCAGTAGTAATTTGAGGCTGATGGTGTATGTTCGCCACAAAGGTTTACATGCAATTGAAGAGGAGCTGTTGTTTTGTTCTCCTCTTGAGTTGAGATCTCGTGGAATTGATGTCTTCAGTAAAATTAATTAATACTTTAATAATGCTAATTTAAAGTGGGAAGACTGCATTGCTTTGTCTGTTGATGGAGCTCCAGCTATGTTCGGTCATGTTAGTGGTTTTTCGGCTTTGGCGAGAGAGAAAAATCCAAAAATTGAAGTTAACCACTGTATGATCCATCGCCAGGCACTGCTTGTGAAACGTTTGGAACCTGCACTGGAAGCCGTCATGCATGATGTTATCAACGTTGTCAATGTCGTCAAAGGACATGCACTAAACACGCGACTATTTTGTGAATTATGTACAGATGGGGAGGCTGAATATACAGACCAACTTTATCATACAGAAGTGAGGTGGCTGTCACGTGGAAATGTTCTGAACCGAGTATGGGTTCTCAAAACTGAACTTGAAATTTTTATGGTTGATCAAAAGCATGTTCTCACAGATACGTTTACAAACTCCTCGTGGGTTGCACATCTTGCATATTTAACTGATATTTTTGAGTATGTGAATGCATTGAACAAAGAATTGCAAGGAAAAAAACATCAATATAATTTCAGCCAGAGAAAAGATTTCAGCGTTTGGATCAAAGCTTTTATATTGGAGACAGAAAGCAGAACAAAACAATTAATTGTTTGTAAGATTTGAGGCTTTCACGGCGGTGACTATGAAGAATGCAGTCTTCTGGGATTTGGCAGTGTATATGTGGTGTTAACCGACGTTTCGGAGGAACGTATCGCCCCCATCTTCAGGGTTGAAGAAGGATATCCTGTGCGGGGTGGAGAAAGTGA